GGACAGAGCAGGGCTGGTGGATCTCAGCTAGGGGGAGAGCATGTCTGAATCACCTGAGGTATTTCTTCACCAACTTAACGCTCTTGTTGCTACTGTATTCCTCTGCCCCCCCAATTCAGACCCGAAAACGGCCGGAATAGAAAGGGGTGTCGGTGATAGGGATAAAGAACCACTGGCATAGAATGTTCCAAGTTATCTATTTCTGTGTTACAAACCACTCCGAAACTTGACCTAAAACAGCAATTTATTTCAGTCATAAACCCATGTTTGGGCCGGACTCAGAGGTAGCTCGCCTCTGCGCTCCTTGGCATCAGCTGAGGAGGCTGGAAGGCTGGGCTGGGCTGGGCTGGAGCGCCGGGAGAGTTGCTCATTGAGGGGTGGGGTAGTGGCTGTCCTCCGGGACCCTCGCTGGGGCTTTAGCTGGGGCACCTACCCATGGGCTTCCTCACACATGCGATTGGACACCACGGCGTGCACTGAGTGGTGGGAGGGCTCTCCACTGTAAGTCCAGCCTCGGGAGCGTGCAGTCACTTCCGCTGTGCCCGCTGCAGGGAGCTCTGAGCCCAGCATCTCGCAGAGGCGGAGGCCAGGCCCAGCCTCAGGACTGCAGTGCTGAGAGCTTTGCAGACTGTTTTCATAGCACCTGAGTGGCTAATGAGCGCACGGGCCCTCCTGTGCTCCAGCTCCCCTCTTCCCACCCCACGGGCAGAGGATGAAGGTCACAGTAAGCGACTGCGAGCCCTCGGGAGCCTGGCCAAGCTCCTCAGGCAAAAAACAGCGCTTTGCTCTCACGCAGCACCGCCCCTCCTCCTGCGTGCCTGCTTCTGTTTTCTGTGCTCTGTAAAACCTCGTGTTGGCAAAGTCTGCGTGGTGGCGAAACAACAGTGCCGCCCGGCCCTCAGCCGCCCCCGGTGCGGCCTGGCCAGAGGCCAGAGGCCAAAGGCCGGATGGGACTTAGCAGTTCAGCTTCCCTGGGGGCAGCGGTCGGTTTGGTAAACTTCACCTGTCAGCCGCCCCCTGTGCACATGTAAGTCCTAATAAACCCTCGTCTTTCACAGCCAGGCCTCGGGGTTATTCTCTGGAAGCCGGTAACAACATGCTGAGGTTTCTGTGCCCTCAGCACTCAGCCTAACACCACCACACAGACTCAGGAGCGAAGAGCCCTCTGCACAGCAACACCCAGCCAGCTGCCTGTCTGCGGAGATCCAGTTTTCCTGCTGGCTCCAAGCACAGTCCAGCCCACCCTGAACACCGGGCCCCGGAGCCCACCCACCACCCAGAGCACCCTCAGAGACCTGTGTTCCTCTCCCCACCCAGAGACTTCTCCATTGCACACGCTCCTGAGTAACTTCCGGATTCCCCTTCTCAGAAATTCAGGGGTGGCGGGGAGGCAGTGGGAGAAACCTGGAAGTGAGGACACCTGGGTCTGGTCCCCACCTTACAGAGCCCCTAAAAAAGGATGCAGGTTTATATGGGAGTGCGGAGAGTATGGGAAATAATGTTCTTCCCTATGTTTCCATTTTCTATATTATTAAAGTTCTTACTGTGGTAAAATATACATAACATAAAACCATTTTAATGATTTGTAAAAGTACAGTTCAGTGGCATTAAGCATATTTACATTGTTGTGCAACCATCACCACCATCATTTCCAGAACTTTTTAATCTTCTCAAACTGAAACTCTATCCCCATTAAGTAACGTAACTCCCCTTCCTCTCTCCCCTCCCCCACCCTCGCACCCACCATTCTACTTTCCGACTCTATGAGTTTGACGTGCTTTGTTGCAGGCTCTAGGAACCTGTGAGTAGAATCACTCAGTGTTTTTCCTTTGTGACGGGCTTATTCACTTAGCATCATTTCCTAGAGCAAGGTGGGGAACCTTTTCCCTGCCAAGGGCCATTTGGAAATTTATAACATCATTCGCTTATTATAATGCATTTGCTATAAATTTTGTTGCTATGAAAAAGCTTCTAGGTTTATTGAGTTTCGAGTCCTGCATGCAGATGCCTTGGCAGGGCCGGACCAAGTGATTTCAGGGGCCTTATGCAGCCACAGCCACCCCTCTGCGGGAGGGTTGTCCACGTAGTGGACTGTGCCCTTGCCAACCGCTCGGCTGGTTGAAGCAGGTCTGTGTACACCAAGGGGGCAGGTTTCATTCCCGCTCAGGGCACACACCTAGTTTGTGGTTTGGTCCCTTCCTCTCTCCTAAAAGTGAAATATGCTCAGGTGAGGATTAAAAAAATACATGCATATTTAGAATGTGTCAGAATTTTCTTTCTTTCTGGGGTGAATAATATTCCAGTGTGTGTGAGTGTGTGTGTGTGTGTGTGTGTGTGTGTGTGTGGTATGTTGTCTATCCATTCATCTGCTGATGAACATTTGTTTCTACTTTGTGGCTTATTGTGAACAACCCTGCTATAAACGTTGGTGTGCAAATATCCACTGAGCCAAACCAGCTAGGGCTCTTTTATCAGTTTTTTTTAAAGCTTAAATTTTAAAAAACTGATAAAAGAGCCCTAGCTGGTTTGACTCAGTGGATAGAGTGTTGGCCTGCAGACTGAAGGGTCCCAGGTACAATTCCTGTCAGGGCCCATGTCCAGGTTGCAGGCTCAATCCCCAGTGTGGGTTGTACAGGAGGCAGCTGATCAATAATTCTCTCTCATCATTGATATTTCTACCTCTCCCTCTCCCTTCCTCTCTGAAATCAATAAGAATATATTTTTATTTTATTTATTTATTTATTTTAATTTTTTTTATTAAATTATTATCTGTGTACATATCTTACCATTGCCCCCTCTCCCATACATACCCTCCCTCTCCAGAGTTTTGTGTCCATTGGTTGTACTTATATGCATGTATACAAGTCCTTCGGTTGATCTATTATCTCCCCCAGATCTCCCTCCCCTCCCCACTGTAATTTGACAGTCTGCTTGTTGCTTTATTGTCTCTATATCTATCTTTTGGTTCATCAGTTTATAATGTTCTTTATTATCCATAAATGAGTGAGGCCATGTGGTGTTTCTCTTTCATTGATCGGCTTGTTTCACTCAGCATGATGTTCTCTAATTCCATCCAGGTTACTGCAAATGAGAATTCCTTCTTTTTTATGGCAGTAAAGTATTCCATTATGTAGACGTACCATACTTTTTTGATCCAATCATCTGCTGACGTGCACCTAGGCTGTTTCCAAATTCTGGCTATTGTAGATTGTGCTGCTATGAACATAGATAAGAATATATTTTTAAAAAGTGATAAAAGACTGTTAAGAATAAAACACCACCCGACCGGTGTGGCTCAGTGGTTGAGTGTCAACCTACAAACTAGGAGGTCACAGTTGGTTTCCCAGTCAAGGCACAGGCCTGGGTTGCGGGCTTGATCCCCAGGAGGGCCGTGCAGGAGGCAGCCAATCATGATTCTCTCTCATCATTGATGTTTCTCTCTCTCTCTCTCTCTCTCTCTCTCTCTCTCTCTCCCTCTCTGAAATCAATTTTATATATATATAAATAAATATATATATATATATGTGTGTGTGTGTATATATATATATATATATATTTTTTTTTTTTTTTTAAGCTCAGACTTTAAGGCTTATAATCTCATCCAATTCCAGTCTCATCAGGCTCCTGCATACCTCATAAGGCCCAGAACCACGAGCTGTTCATTTCCACTGACTCCACCCCCTGCTGCACTTCTCCGTCCTCTGTCCCTTTCCTGCAAACCATCCAGGCAGAGCGACCTGAGTCAGGCTGCCCCGTGACCACCTTTTGTAAGACACCAGCATTTCAACCTATTTTTGTAGCTTTTCACACTAAATGGTTGTCATTTTGCAAAACAAAATATTAATACCCAGTAAGAGTTGTGCTATGTTCCCGGAGCTTGCTAGACCAGGCATTTATATCCCTGCTCCCCCCATCCCTCCTGTGTGCGTGGCTGTGTGACTGGGCACAACACTTTTCGTATTTGGGGCTCACTTGTCACCTGTCAGTGAGTCAAACTACACAGCCTGAAAGGACAGTAGGAGCTGACACCACCGGTCCCCACCCAGCTCCTCCCACCCTCAGCCACGGAGGGAGGAGCCAGGATGGCCAACATCCGGGGTCTCCGAGACCTGCTTTTTACTCTGGGCTCTCCCCAGAGGCTTGACATTGTTGCTACCAGGCCTCACCTCCCAGATATTTTCTAACCAAAACTGGGGCACATGGTCTGAGAACATGGAGACGTGAAAAGCGTGTTCTGAGGGTGTGGGGTTGGAGGGCAGGCCAGGCCGGGCAGCCTCCGGAGAGCAGGGGAGGGGGCCGTGGTGCTGGGCGGAGGGGGCGGGAAGTGGCCTCTGGGTGAATGTTCTGGGGCCTGTGGGGTGACACTGAGTTCAGCAGAGCCACTGCCCAGACTGGCCCCACCCCGCCTGCCAGAAACCGCCTCCCCACCGACCGCAGTGACCACATCCCCTCGGGTTGCCTTGGAAACAGGCCTCAGGACAGGGGAGTTGGGGCACAGTTGCCCAGCAACAGGTGGTGCCCTCCCTTCCGCCCTCCTCTGAGGCCGCTCTGCGCCCTCCTGCAGGCAAGGAGGCCAGGAAAGAGCTGAGGGGAGAGGGGCGCCCAGGACCGAGTACTGAGGTGAGCACAGAGGCCCCAGGTGGGAGCCCTTGGGACCAGCACCTCTTCCTCTCTCTGGGCCCAGCGAGACCTGAGGGCTGAGGAGACAGGGACGACGCCCCTGGGGCCCTCAGCGCGCTGTCTGGAGGGGAAATGGGGGTTCTGAGCAGGGTGAGGGCCCCAGTGGTGCTTCCCCCCATTTTGCCTCCTCTGGCCCTTCCTGGGGTTCCTCTGCTCCTTCCCCGTCTGGGCCTGTTTCTGGGGCCCGATTCCCAGCACCCTGGCCGCCTCTCTCCTCAGTCTCCGCTGGGCACTTGCTGCCTCTCTCCGCCTCTGGCCTGTGCTGCCCTCCTGACCTGTCTCTCCAGATGCCGTGGACCCCGGAGCAGCCCCCTGGGCACATGGAAGGGCCCCCTGCGTCCGAGCCGGCCGTGTGGCCCCCGCTGCCCTGTGGGCCCTGCATCCCCATCATGCTGGCGCTGGCCGCGCTGGCCGCCCTCTTCCTGCTCACCACGGCCGTGCTGGCCGAGCGCCTGTTCCGCCGCTCCCTGCGCCCGGACCCCGGCCGCCACCCGCCCACCCTGGTCTGGCGCCCGGGCGGAGAGCTGTGGATCGAGCCCGCGGGCACCCCCCGGGAGCGCTCCGAGGACTGGTACGGCGCCGAGGTGCCCCTGCTGATGGACCAAGCCCCGGACCCTCCCGTCCCCGTCCCCGGGGGCACCTTGGAGGCCCGGGCGACGGCCCCGCCTGCCCCTCCTCCCCCACACGCCCCTCCCACCTTCTTTGCTCCCCAGATGCCACCCAAGGCCCCAACCCCAAGCACTTTCTGGGGGCCCCAGGCCTGGGAAGGGCGGCCCCACGCCCCAGGCCTGGTGAGCTGGGCCGAGCCTGAACAGAGGCCTGAACAGAGGCCTGAACAGAGGCCTGAACAGAGGCCTGAACAGAGGCCGGAGCCCAGCATGAGTGTGGGGAGCCCCCCGGCCCGCAGACTGCGGCCGGGCAGCCCTGATCCTGAGTGGGGCCTGCAGCCGCGGGTCACCCTGGAGGAGATCTCGGCCTTCTGGAGGCGGGAGAGCCGCACCAGCGTGGGTTTCTGAATCCCCGGACCCTGGAGGGCTGGCCTCGCAGAGACCTCGGGGCAAGGCCCAGCCTCAGAGGCTCCAGCCGGGGACCCAGTGACATCGGGGCCCGGGAAGGCCAGGCTTTGCGCGGCTGGGTTTCCATTCAGCTGGGTTTGCTCTGGCAGCTGGGTGTGGACAGCCTGTGCTGCTGGGAGCTCAGGGTGCTTCTGCTTGGCTGCCTGGAGGGGGCGCTCAGCGCAGAGTGCAGGTGGGGTGGACTCTGGGCCAGAGCCGCCAAGATCACCTTCCTGATTAGGAATTCAAGGTACAAGACGGGCCTGAAGGAGCACCGCCCCGGCGGCTTCCCCCTCGCGCACTGAGTCTAAGCGCCGCTGTCGGAGGGCACAGTCCGGTGACGCGAAGAACAGCTGCCAGCTGAGCAGGAGATGCCGGGACCGTCCCTCCAGGAAAGCACACAGAGGTCAGGACCGGGCAACGAGCATCTTACGGAAAGTGAACTGAGACTTGGACCCCAGCTCAGAGCAAACTAGGGGCGCCAAGCTGGAGAGGCCCTCTCTGAGTCAGAGTCAGCCGGCGGGCTCCTCTGCCCGTCCCTGCAGGCTGGCGCCAGCCTGCGAGTCTCTCCCTCCATCGTAAGGGAGGCGTGGGCCCAGGACATCTGAGGTTGAACCAACATGGAAAACCGGCCCAGGGCAGGGCAGCTCCCAGAAGGCAGCCTCTGGTCCTCTCCCCCCATCTCCCCTCCACCACCCCCCAAGCTTGCTGGAATGTTCCGGAGACAGGGCAGGCTTACTTATAAGCCCCAGCTCCTCCCGGAGGAACGGAGCCCCCAGCGCCCTTGGCCCCGGAGCACCCGCGTCAGCTGACCTCTGGGAGCGGAGCCAGCGCCGGCAGAGGCCAGGGAGTCCTCACTCGGAGCTGCAGCCATGCTGTTAGGGTGCTTGCCGTATCAGTTTACCACTGTACCGCTGTTTACTTATGTTTTCTTTGAATCGGTTTACTGTTTGCTTAATACGCTTATTTTAAAGGAATAGTTCTTGGATCACCTCTGTAAACGGAAAACCAGTATCATTTGCCATAAATAGAAGGTCAAATAAATACACTGTAAACAAAGACATTGCGTCCTAAGTAGACATTGTTCCCTGATGGAGGCCTGACCCCAGGAGCTGATCTTCCTTTGTTGTTGTTTTTTTTATTTTTTATTTTTTAATATATTTTATTGATTTTGTACAGAGAGGAAGGGAGAGAGTTAGAGTTAGAAACATCGATGAGAGAGAGTCATCGATCAGCTGCCTCTTGCACACCCCCTACTGGGGATATGCCCGCAACCAAGGTACATGCCCTTGACCGGAATCGAACCCGGGACCCTTCAGTCCCCAAGCCGACGCTCTACCCATTGAGCCAAACCGGTTTCGCTGTTGTTGTTTTTTAATAAAGGAGGGATGATGTCAGCAAGGGTTAGGCGGTCTAGCTGCCACCCTGAGACTCCCTCCGAGTGCTCAGAGGAGCCGCACACGGAGCAGGGACCCCGCCTGTGCTACTCAACGCCGGCAGGGCCTCAGCGCTTCCTGCTCCGAGGGCCGGGCCTCTTGGCCTGGACCTGCCCTCTCATCCTTGGAGGCCAGAAGTCGAAGGGGCAGTAGAGGAGTGAGAAGCCCCTTGGCAGAGGGACCAATCCCCAGGGACCCTCATCCCCCACAGGGTCCTGGCACTTCCCCTGAGCCTGCCTGGGGGCAGGGGGAATCAGACCTGGCGCCTACACTCAGGACCTCCCACCTCCAGGGGCAGGTGGAGGTGGAGAGGACGGGACAAGAAGGGGCACATAGCGGATCCAAGGCAGGGTTCCTGGCCCGTCTGTCTCTCAGGCTGGGTGATTATGTCACCTCGTCAGGTCAGGGACAGAGCCTGGTTGTGGGGACTCTGCCCCGAGGAGGGAGCAGCCCCCCGGGAATCAGCAGAGATGCAGCGTTCAGAGCTCCCCAGCGTGGAAGGGCCCGGAGACAAGGCCCCAGCTCTCAGCTGGCTCGGAGACTTGGGAGGTGGTTTTTATGTCACTGGGCCTCACGTCCTTCCTCTGCACAACGAGAGGAGCAAGATGCTCTGCTGGGACTTTTCTAGCTACGGCACCTCAGGCTGGTGTAGAGGAAAGATGGATGACGGTGGGGGCACGTGATCCTCCTGAGGCAGAGCTGTCCCCAAAGCCGCCTTTATGTTCCCCGACCCAGGGCCTGGCCTGGAATCTAACAGGAGCCCAGGGACAGGGAATGTGAGCGGGCGGACTCAGACACGCACAGTTTTACAAACCTCGCTCCTCTCTCTGCATGTTAAACCTCCCCTCTCCTTCCCAACACCTCGGTGACTTCCCATGTTCCGTCCCTCCCTGTGCCTTCAGGCGTCTGCAGCGTCCTTGCTGTAAGGTCCTGTTGCCAGGGTTCTCGGGGCTCCTCTGGGGCTTTCTGGGGGGGGGGGGGGGGCTGTGACCTCGGCTTCAGCGGGAATCCATGCGGTCAGTCTGAGGGGTGTCTGTGGAGATCCCGTGTTTGCTCCTGCCTGGGACGCCCCAGGGCTATTACCATCGCTGGACCACATTCTTCATTAATTTTATCTGAGCTTCTGAGACGATGGTGTACACATGAGCCCCAAATTCATGTGAGGGGAACCTCTGGTTCTGAATTCTCAGGGGAGACTCCCACAGCCCAGGACTAGGGAGAGGCAGACAGGCTGTCTGCCCCGGGGCTGCAGGAAGATGTTCTCTCACCTGCTCTTCTCAGCGCCCGGCAAGGCCTGTCCCCAACCCCTTCGTACACAGCTCTGGCCTCTCACTTCCTCCTGTGCGGCCCCTGGGGGCTCCCCTTCCTTCCTTAAACCCAGCTGCGCGTTTTAGAGGCTGTTGGTTTGATTTTGTGCGGCATTTCTAGAAGTTTCGTGGTGGGAATGTGTTTGTCCGGTGATAAGGTTCACAATGGCACAGCGAAACCAGACTGTTTCCTCCACGAACAAGTCTGAATCTCCCCGCTCAAAACGGCAGCTCGCTCCCCTTGGCGGGGCATCGTCCGTACCCCCAGAGGCTGCAGGTTTGGCTCCCAGTCAGTGCACACGCCTGGGATGCGGGCTGGTTCCCGGGTCAGGGCGCATGAGGAGACAACCAAGTGATGTGTTTCTCACATCAATGCTCCCCCCCCCCCTCGCAGAATCCAATGGAAACATATCCTCGGATGAGGATTAAATAGAACAAAATAGTCCTGGCCTGTTCTTCTCAGTGGTTAGGGTGTTCGCCCTCAGACTGAAAGGTCACGGGTTTGATTCCTGGTCAAGAGCATGTACCTGGGTTGCAGGTTCCATTCCCAGCGTGTTTGGGAGACAGCCTATTGATGTGTCTCTCTCACATCTGTCTCTCCTCTCCCTTTCTCCCCTCTCCCCTCCCCTCCCTCTGCCTTTTCCACTCTCTCTAAAAATCAATGGAAAAAATATCCTCGGTTGAGGATTAACGAACAAAACACCACAACTAATTCTCCATCCTTCACCACATTTTTTTAAAAATATATTTTTTATTGATTTTTTACATAGAGGAAGGGAGAGAGAGAGAGAGAGCTAGAAACGTCGATGAGAGAGAAACATCGATCAGCTGCCTCCTGCACAGCCCCTACTGGGGATGTGCCCGCAACCAATGTACATGCCCCTGATCGGAATCGAACCTGGGACCTTTCAGTTTCCGCAGACCGATGCTCTATCCACTGAGCCAAACAGGCTTCGGCCATCCTTCACCACATTAACAAGCCCTCTCACCTCCCTCACAGACAAACTTGAGGAAAGAACTGCCTGTCCAGCCGTCCACGCTCCCCACCCCCCTCCCCGTGCAGCCTGCTGCCGCCCTGGGCACCCTCCGCGTTCCACGGAAACCGCGTTCACACACACAGAGCTGCGTGCTCTCACCCAGGCCTCCGATCGCTCCTGCCAGCAGCTCGAGCCATGGATTCCACCAACAATACTCTCCCCTCGCCGCTGGACTCCGCACCCACCGCCTTCCCGCTCTGGCCGCCCTTTGGGCTTCGGCGTCAGCCCCGGCGGCATTGCCCTCCTCCACACTCTTCCCCGCGGCCTCGTGACGCGAGGCTCCGTCACTCTCACACGGTCCTCCCGTGGCTTTCTCTCGTCGTTCCAAAGAGTGCCCTTGGGAGAGGAAACAAGGTAACAAAAGGTGGTCTCCCCAGTGCATGGCCATCCCTGGGGCGTCAGTGTTGGTCCCCAGGGCAAAATCAGCACCCCTCCCCCCAAAAAAAGTGCAGGGGTCATGAATTCACACGTATGAAGAGGCCCAGCCAGAGCCGCGGCGAGTGCTGTGGGCCAGGGGACGGAGCGGAGAAGAGACCACAGGTCTGTCCCTGGGCACAGCTGCCACTCGGCGCCACCAATCAGTCCTGCCTTCCGACTCTGCACCAGAAGCTAGAAGCCTGGGGCTCGGGGTAAAATCAACCAGAATGTTTGTAAATACTGACAGTGCAGTGACCATAAAAGCCACGTGAAGCAGGTCTGTGGACCACACGTGGCTCGGGGGCCATGGGCACAGCCTGGAACACGTGCTCATCATCTTGGCCTTTGGTGGGTCGAGGTGACCACCTGCCCCCAGAAGCCTTACGTCAGGCTTCCCCCCTCACGCTGTGGCTGTGGGGCCACAGTGACTGCCCTCGGGCGGCCTCCCTGCTCCCTGAGGGACACTGAGCGTCGCCTCTGGCCTCTGTCCATGCGGGGCCAGTGGCGTCCCCCTAGCTGTGACCACCACAGACGTCTCCAGACTCACCCATGTCGCCCGGGGGCGGGGACAGGAACCTCTGATCTAAGGGACGTGTTTTGATGAATTAACACACCTGCCCACGGCGGGAGCCCGCTCCGGGGAGAGGCCAGGGAACCAGTGACACCAAAGGAGTCAGACGGAGAGACAGCAGCCAGCCCGGAGGAAGCAGAGGGCAGATCGTGCACCGTATACATGGAGGCTTCTAGGGACACACGCAGAGGAG